ACCCCCGACAAAGTCACGAACCCACGGAAGTCTCAGATGCATGATGAGCCTGTCAACGATGATGGCAAAGCTGAAATGGATGTGTCCACCTCGAGGATTCCGGCGGTTCTTGAAGCTTATACGCAACCCGCCTTGCAGTCTAGGTAGTCAGTTTATAGGTCTGTGCAGCGTTCCTGGCAGGACTTTGCCTTGCGTGTGGATCAAACAGGTCTCAAGCGCAAAGGGGCACACATCGACGATGGAGAAGCAGATGGCTTTGAGGCTGTCAAGCGGAGGCCTGGCCGTGGGGGACGAGGTCGCGGTCGTGGTGGCGGTTGCAGGGGCCGTGGAGGGCGTGGTCATGCAAGTGGGTCTGGGAGCAAGCATAACAAGGGCGACAGCGAAGATGTTGACCCTGCTCCTGACACAGACTGGGAGGATGTGTGCAGGGAGTGGGAAATCTTTGCATCTGAGCGTGCTGCAGCTTGGGCAGCCATTATGGCTGCTGAGTCTGGGGAGGCCAATCCCAAGAAGATCGCTGCTGAGGATGAGGTTGAGAAGCCAAAGCAGCGCTGTGCCAAGAAGGGTGCGGAAGGCAAGCGGAAGAATTGCAAGAAGGGCAACACAACAGAGAAGCCCCAGGACGCAGACGCTGCAGGGGCTGTTGCAGACTTGTGCAAGGAAAAGTCGTTTGCAAGGCGACCTCCCCCGAAGACGGAGCAAAGGTACATGATGTGGCAGGCTACGAAGACAGCGTTTGAGGACAAGATTGCTCTGTACGTGGATCACCCATCGAAATTCCAGGACGCCACCCGCTCTATAGTTGTCGCGTGCTTTTCTGTGGGCTAGCTTTTCGGGGCACTGACATGTCTGCTGTGGATTGTCATTCCAGCTCTTGATTGTCTGCAGGATCCTTTCTGGAAGGAGGTTCAGGCCATCTATAAGGCAAAGAAGAAGGAGATTAAAGATGGCACGGTTGCATGCTACGACCTTGCTGTGAAGGTTGCCAAAAAGTTCCTGAAAAATCTCCCAGCTGTGTAGGCCAGCTGACATGCCGATTTTCTTTCAAGCCCATGAAATCATGTGCGCTAAAGTTTGAACTTTGGCTCTGTTCGAGCTACTTGGGTGTAAAGACTGGAACCTTGAGTCTGTGACATCATGGGCTCTGGGCACAAGTGCAAACGAGGCAGGACGTCTGGAATATCCACACCTGCTTCTTAATTGCTATTTCCGGGGGAAGGATTATCAGATCCGGCTTTCTAGCGCCGACTGCTGCAGTAATGCGACAAAAATGGGGAGTGCAGCTGGATTCCGCAAAAGGTGCAGTGTGGAGCAACCAACCATGAATGCATTCCTATACCCGCATTCTATCAATGCCCAAGTGCGCCTGCTGGCTCATGCCCGCGATCAAGAGAGGTCAGGCCTGGTTGGCCAGCCGAGGGGTTTTATGTCACTCTGGCATGTTTCTGCACAGATACTTCGAGTTTGTGATCTTGTGGGTTTGCAACGCATGTTCTGCGATGAGATGGTTTAGAGGATCACTGACATGGCTCCACATGTAGAAGATGTGGCTTGATATGAGCTGGGCAGCTTTCGAAAATCAACCTCTCATGGTCTATCTTCACAGGCCACTGTTTTCATCATGCACCGTGGTAGAGATACCATAGACCGTAACTCAGCAATGCCGAGCCTTTCCAACATTCAGCTTCTCTTGCGCCGTCTTGTTGCCCTTCGAGTGCCGAAGGATTTGTCGGGAAACGTAGCTGCAAGCACAACCCCCCCCTTTCTAAATCCTATTATACACCTTAAAGTAAGCGCCCGCAGCTTTCTAAACCTGATCTACAAGTAGAGTTGGACAATTATACAAGTCTGATAGATTCTGTTGGGTATACTGAAGCCCCGTTCATGACTGTCATGCAGGAGCTGTTCCTGATAGTCTTGATGCTCACGTGGATGGATACTCTCGATCTCCAGCCACAAGCCCGCTGGGACTTAGTGGAATTCTTCGGCGGTCGATGTAAGATAGCGCGGCATGCGCACAACATGGGATGGAAGGCAACAGCTGTGGATATCTTCTATGACGGGGCAAGATCTACATCGAGAAGACAAAGATTGGGCAAGAAATCCCCGTTTGACATCAGCTCTGATTCGGGGTTTACGCCTCCTACCTTTACTTCATACATCGTGTATGTTCAGCAAAGTCAAGACTCAGAAGGTACCTAAGCCACCCCAGAACTTTCCACCTCTGACCCCAGCCCAGGCTGTGCCTGGTCCTCATCCTCCAGGGCAATTGGTCGCAGCTATGCGCGATTTTCGCCACCTGCTGCTCGTCTTTTGTTTCGATCAATGCATCTTCAGGAAGGGATGCGCTGACACCGGAGGGGAGGCAAGACCTGCCAAATGTAATTCGGGCGAACAGACTCCTTTGCAGGACAGATCATTTTCCTCTCAGTGTGCTAGTGTTGTGTAACCCAAGGGGCAATGCTCGCTGCATTTAGTTCAGGGCCTCGTCTAGCAGGTCAAAGCTTAAGTCGTACAGGTCTGCTTCCTTCGTGTGATGGCGCAGGACAATATGCTTGATGTTCGTTTGTGCAGCTGTTGGCGCTTCCATCTTCCTTGAGAACCCCGGCACTTCCATCATGTTCCAAACAAAATTTTTTTTGCAGTATGTCCGCAACATGAAGAAGGTGGGCAAGCGTGCCACTTATCTTCATTGCCGTGCTCTTGTATGGGGCAATCGAGCTCACCCAAGTAGCTTTGCCATTTTCAGCTAAGGTATACAAGGTATCCTTTTGGACGCGGCTTCATGGTCACCCGAATCCGAAACGGACTATCGTGATTAGTGATCGGAGGCTTGCTTGGCAATTGGATAGGGGCACCTTGACCAAGGGGAAAGCTTCTTACCCCACTACTATCCACTATGTCGACAAGTCTGGCAAGCGAAGACTTGTGGGCCACCGCAAGAACCTGAAAAAGAGTGGGTAACTTGGCAAGAAGTATAGTATGTCCCGAAAAAGTACGAAGCTGTTTGGTAATGCATGCTTATGAGGGAGTATCCTGGCGGCTCTGCGAAGAAGATTGTCTCCATGATTCCACAGCTGCAAGCCCAAGACATGAGGATCCCTGTTGCTTCTTGTCCATGGAGTTAAGCTTGGAGTCTCTTTGAATAAATCCTGTCTGATGTCTTCATGGAGAGCAGATTGAACACAACCAACCTGAGGACGAAGAGACACCTCTTCAGGATTTGTGTCAACAACTTTGCTACAACGAGGAGGTCTGGGAACCAGCGAGCCTGGAAATGGTAGTCAGGTACTTGCGAGGAAGCACCTCGCTGCGTATTCCTCAGGAATGGCGGGGCTGTTCTCCTCCATTTTTGTAATTGACAAGGTCTTGCCTTGCAAAGGGATCACATGGAAGGAAAACCTTTGACACAGGCCCTGTAGCGTACATACATTATATTATACATGCAAAGTAGAGTCTGTGTTGGGTATCGTAGAGGTTGATTGGATTCCTTTGGGAATGAGGCTTCCAGAAAGTGTGCCTTCGTGCTTTCTGCTGCCTGTGCAAGCGAGATTGATCCTCTGCGGCTGAAATATCTTGCGCCTGCCTAGAGAAGAGTGGTCTCCTGAAATCCTGCACGGTCCCTACATTTATGAGACCTCCGGGGCCAATCACAAGCTACTTCACAATGGGGGATAGGGGTGCCAATGTAGTCCTGCTTATTGGGGGATAGGGGTGCATATGTAGTTCTGCTTATTGGGGGATAGGGGCAAGATCGTTCTGCTTATTGGGGGCCACAGGTGCAAAATCAAGTTCTGCTTATTGGGGGATAGGGGTGCCAATGTAGTCCTGCTTATTGGGGGATAGGGGTGCATATGTAGTTCTGCTTATTGGGGGATAGGGGCAAGATCGTTCTGCTTATTGGGGGCCACCGGTGCAAAATCAAGTTCTGCTTATTGGGGGATAGGGGCGCATATGTAGTTGAGCTTATTGGGGGATGGGGCGCATATGTAGTTCTGCTTATTGGGGGATAGGGGTGCAAATGTAGATTCTGCTTAGTGGGGGATAGGGTTGCAGATGTAGTTCTGCTTATTGGGGGATAGGGGCAAGATCAAGTTCTGCTTATTGGGGGATGTAGGGGTACTTTTTGGGGGCGAGGGCATGACCTTTTAACTCGTGAACCCTGAACTGGAGCCCATGAACCCTGAGCTGGAGCCCATAAACCCTGAGCTGGAGCCCATGAACCCTGAGCTGGAGCATGAACCCTGAGCTGGAGCCTTGAACCCTGAACTGGAGCCCATGAACCCATGAAGTGTCCCCATGCACCCTGAACTGGAGCCCGTGAACCCTGAGCTGGAGCCACGAACCCTGAGCTACCCTGAGCTGAGCGCCTGAATTCTGAGCTAAACACCTCAAACCCTGAGCTGGGGCACCCCAAACCCTGAAGTTTAGGGCGGAATTAGGCGGATATAGGGCGGAATTAGGCGGACTTCAGGCGGAATTACCCGGAACACTCACACATCCTATACACTTAGACAACGCAACCCTGAGCTGCCCAGATCCAACTCAGCCTGCCTGCTTGCTGTTTTATTATACCGGACCTTGTGCTCAAGGGATTGACTGAAGGTATGATTCCAATTGCTAGCCGGCAGTGGTCAACAGGGACTTTGCTGGACGGGTTGAGTTGTCTTAATCAGAACGACCCAGCAGCGCTCCTCGCTGCTGGTGATATGTCGGCAGCCGATGCCCTGACGCGTGAGCAGCAAATGCAGGCCAGCTGTTCAACTATAAGGAGCTTACCCAGTTCACCTGCTCACTCAGGAAATTCAGGCCAAGTTAGACAAGGTCCAAGCTTTGAGGAGATCCCGTGGAAAGGGGACTGGGCGCGAGAGCAAGTCGAACTCCAACCCTGGTGATTCCCCTGCCTTGCTGACTGACAAGCCTGTAGCTTGACTGCACACCCCTATATATACAGACATAGCAGACCCCATGTCCTTTGCAGGGTGCATACCTGACCTAAGGTTGCATTGCCTCCAACAAAGTCAGAGTCTTTTGCAGAGACGCTGAAAGTTGCAGGGCCCAAGCCTGCGCCAGTGCATCCCATTGCCCGACCTAAGTTCGGGGAGTATAGTCAAGAGAGGCAGCCCACTTTCGGGTTCACGGATGAGGAGGGCCCGAATGGGAAAGAACCTAAGCCAGTCCCCGTTGAGGTAAGCCAGCTCAAGGAAGCCAAGGAAGATATGAGCAACAAGAACAACAACGGAGCACCTCCTCAAGAGCCCTTGGAGAACCCAGGAGACGTGAAAACCGAAATGGATAAGAAGAAAATCCTCAAGCAACAGGAAGGAATCAACGACTCTTCCAAGCCCTCGACACCCCCACCTACCAGCCCTGTCAAGCCCTCCCCCCTCGTTACTTCCCAGGGCGAGAACATACAGCTGTCTGCCATCCCAATGGAAGACGATGAAACGGCTGTAGCACCGCCAAAAAGTGAATTAAGCCTAAGCCGTGGAGCCATTGACAAAAGGATGAGACGTGTGTTTACGCCCAGGACAAACGGGACTTTCAAAGTCCCGGCCAAGTTTGTCCAAGAGTATCAGAAAAAAGGATCGGCCCGCAAGTCTCTGGAAAAGATACTGGCCAGCTGTGGATATTGCGTGGACTGACGCCCTTGCGCATTTGATTTTGCAATCCTGTATTCTGCAAAACAAGACACCATGCTCGCAGGAAGAGTTCACACAAGAGCTTCATGAGATAGCCGAGACATACTTTGAAGATGAGCTTTTGATCGAGGGAGAATTTCTCAGCGAACAGAGAATGCTGGATGATGGACTGAGTGAGACACCGCATTGCATTAACTTACTCTGCGTCCGGCTCCATTAACAACACACCCATGTGAATCTGTTCATCTGAGGAAGCGGGTAAATGCGATCAAAGCCTATTGTTGCGAAAATCCCGAGAAGTTCTTGAGGACGGGGTTTCTGGAGCTTGTGGGGTAAGTGTGGGAGTGTATGCTGCAATAACATGTTAGCAGTTGCAGTTGGAATTTCCTGCAGACGGGACCGCTACGAGCCAACGGTGATCCTGTATTGGTGTGAGAAGATGATCAAGGCTACTCACAAGTGTTCTGGCTACATTTTCTAAACCTGTTTGTTTTGATGTTGGGGGAGGTGGCTATTGCAGTGTAGGGACCCCTGTGTCAACCATCCATAGGTATATGGTTGCAGCCGATTTCAGAAAATTTGGTTGTGAAATTTGCAGTAGGATAGGTGACCCAAATCTGGCTTATAAGGTATTCCGGCTTTCTTGTAAAGGGGCTTGGAAGTACACAAGTCGAGCACGCAGAGCCCTCGATATCGTAATAATGCAAAGCCAGATCTGTAGCATCCCCAGGGAATCAATCAACAACGCCTTGCTTATCTACCTTTCAATGTGGTTGCTGGCATGTAGAACCCTTAGCAAATGCTATGCTTGTCAATCCTATTCCATTGCACTCACTTGGAAGCCAGCCACCTTATCCTCAAAGTCCTCCGCAATCAATCAACCCACCCTCCTATAAACCCTAAACTAAACCCCAAACCCTGAATCCTACATAAACCCTAGCCGGATCAAATAATGACACTGATGTATCCCATTGCCCCAGAATCCTGCAAAAGCTCAGGGAAGGTGAGCGCAACATTCGGCGCCGCACCTCCACGTTTGAGGCTGATGGAGTGGCAGCAGCATCAGATGATACATCCCAGTGCCCGCTGGCCAGCAAGCCTTCCGTAGGTCTGGGTTGGGGACAATGTAGACGTACAGGGTTCGCTATGGCCTTCCCAAAATCTTTGTATGTTGGAAGGGATCAAGGTATACCTACACACCCCCAAAGTAGGTAAAGTAATAGCCCAAAACCCTAACAACAACCCAAAGGTCCATTATTCTATACTTTTGGGGTTATATATTTATGTTGTAGATAGGATTTTGACCCCTTACTTTGTAATATCCTGCCCTTGTAGCCTTTGTTCCAGGAGACCTCGGGGACATTGATGTGAATAAGGAGGTGAAGCCTACTGAGGCCAAGGAGATCCAGGAGCTTCGAAAAAAAGCCGGCGTTCCTGACATAGACCCTGATGCCCTCCCAAGCACATACGCGATGAAGATGACGGCCTGTGCTTCGAAGCATGACAAGAAGCTGACGGATATGATTACAATCTTCAACCAGATCCCGGCAAAGGATATCACGCCTGTTCAGAAGCGGAACCTTGCCTAACCTAAGCCTGAACCTACCAAACCCTGAAAAATTAAAGCCTGCATGCCTGCAAGCTTAGGATGAAGGAGAAGCTCGAGCAACTCCACAAAAACCTGGACGAGAAGGTGGAAGAGATTACAACAATCCATGCGGATGGGGTGATAGATGGCTTTGGTAAATCGTTGCTTGCTAGCAGAAAGCTATGTACTGTATCGGGTGGTCTATGGTGCAAGTTAGGGTTTTCATGGGTTTTCATGAAATCTTATATATGTATAGTGTACAAATCATGCGCGGGTTCCACTAGATTCGCTCAGGTCAATGTTTGCCGGAAATTACTATAAACACGCAACCCGTAGCCAACATATCTAATTTTTCTTTCCTGTATGGATCTGGCAAACATTGGCATGACCGCACAAGTTTCCTACACCCCCATGTTTTTGCTTCCAGCAACCCAAAGGCAAGAGGAGCTGCTGAGAAGCCTTATCAACGATCTACAGAAGCTGCTTCTCATCCTTGAAGTGTTGAGTTAGCACATGCGCCCAATGCGTTATGTATGATTTAATTATGTACCCCCCTATCACCTACTTTGCTGTTGTAGCACATTTTATTGGGGCTGTTGGGGTATACAAACAGATCTGCCAAAGGTTTCTGTGATTTAAAGCCTACCCTGTTCCTGAATTTTGCTGTTGGAATCTAAGGGCAGTGGAGTCTCAGGGTGCTCAGAGTCGGGGCAGGAGCTGGGTTTCAGTGTCACTCTGTTTCAATTGATTGCGTATCTCCCGTGAAAGTGTGCATCAGTGGCAGGACCTTGCAGCCCAAAAAGCCTGTGCAGGCAGAGGCAACGGTCAAGCGAGGCTCCAATGCCCCAAAGGCGGCGCCAACAGTCAATCTCAAACGTGGCAATGATGGCCAAGAGAAGCCCGCCAAGAAGCCTAAGAAGTAAGCTCCTGCTTGGGCTGATAGCTGGCAATTAGACTGGTGCTGCCCGAAATAATGCCTGCCCCTCTATACATTACGCAGCTACAGGGGTTCTCTGTTTCAGCTCTTGCTGCTATAGCCGAAGCTGGGGAGAAAGTTGGGGGTTCGTCTGTAGACGACTGAAGAACAAGTCCATGCGAGAGGACTGCCCGAAAAGTGTGTTTTGCCTTTGCCTGCCGTGTGTTGAAGATAGAGCGCGCGCGTGCCCACCTAGTCTCCAAATCGGGCCCCTTTGCAATTCCCGAAAATGTGCATGCCAGGTGATGATGGTGCTTCTGCTCAGCAACGTGAAGCTGGTGCTCTTATGCACCGTCTTGCTGAGATGGTCGGTGATGGGGCCCCTGAATGGAAATGTAAGACTCTTCATATTTTGGAAGGAATCTTGCAAGACCCCAAGTCCCTTACAATCCTAATAAGAAATATACGGTTGGCCCTGAAATGCAGGATTCCTTCGCTTGAAATTACAATTGAGGGGCGGCCCTGTAATGCACAATTCCTTCGCTTGAAAGAACCCCCAAAGTAGGTAAAATAACGGCTCCCAAACCCTATAACACACTTTTATAAAGGGCAATTCTTTCGCATAGTTTTGGGGTTGTACATTTCGGTGGCTGAGATTCTGAGGTTTCTGGGGATGGTCTTGGCACATTGAGAATCCTAACAAATTACAGGGATGGCAATTCTTTACAGGGTTTACAGGGCCGGTAGCCTTTGTGTATTCCATGTGTATTTTCTTGTGAAGAAGCCCTTCCCTACCATCCCTATAGCCACCCTAGATAGACCCTCTGTAACCCAATGAAGCTTATATATACCAGCAATCTCTTGAAAATCCCAGGCTGCCTGTGCTGATCTGGTTCGTGTCAGCGAAGCGGCGCGAGCAGATTCCTGCCATTGCGATGCTGTTGCGAGTGCTGCATGTCTTCCCAAAGGAGATGCAGAAAAAGGTACCCATAAACTGCTTGTTAGATTTGGCTTATCCTTGCGAGTCAAGATTAGCTGGGTGGATCTGGAGTTGAAGGGTGAACCTTTGCGAATACCTTACATCAAGCCATCGGACTACTTGAAGAAGCTCCTCGAGTGCTATCCTGAAGTTGTATGGGGTGATGGTTTTGGGGATGAACAACAAAGGTGCAAATCCTTCTGGAAAGCGTATTATTGGTCCCATCCCACACACACAGCCTTTTCGACCTTCAGTGAAAATGAATTGGTTCACCTGTTGCCCATACAAGTTCATGGCGATGAAGGAACTGGCTCTAAAAAGCAACCGGTCAGCATCTTCAACTGGCAGACTGTTTGGGGTCAGCAGACCGACAAGACCAAGCACATTAAAGCACAAAAGTTCGGTGAGTGCAAGTCCTGTCGAGACGGCAGCAGCATCTCCAAGTGCTGCAGCGTGCCTAGGAAGTGCCCGAGGGGATCGGCTTCTACTATGGAGTTGAGTCCTGAAGATTTGCTAGAACTGCAGACGCAGTTGCCAACATCGTCTGGGCACTCATTTCTGCAAAGGCATTTGGTCTTTGTTTTGCCGACTTATTTGGTCAAGAAAGGGCCTGAAGTTCTGGAGGCTGTGTTGTTGGCTACTGCGCAAGATCTGAAGTTGCTCTTTACTGAGGGAATACGAGTTCGCGACAAACACATCTACGCTGCTGTGGTTTCCTTAAAAGGCGATGCCAAGTGGCATGCGGGTGTAGGACACTTCACACGCTCTTACGCCCGTTTGGGGGATGTTACTTCAAGGCCTATTTGTCCGGAATGTCATGGCGGGGAGTGTGGCATGCCGTTCGAAGATACAAGCAGCGATCCTTGTTGGGTCAGGACGCTATACGAAACGGTTCCATGGGTGAACCCTGGCAGTCTGGAGGAAATCCCATTTGACAGCAGTTGCCCATCGCGCAAGTACAAGCGAGACCCACTGCATGTGTTCAAAATCGGACTAGCGAGAGACATAACTGGTTCAGGCATACTGCTGCTGTGTCGACGGTTGAAGTGGTTCGATGAACATGGTGACTCGATTGCCATGGGCAACAGACTCAAGCGTGCCCACAGCCGGTTCGCTCTTTGGGCAGCAGCCACTGGCAACACCCCAAGCTTGAGAGCCTTCACAAAGGATACTCTACATCTAGCTCGAGTTGACAGTTTCGCTTTCACAAACTACAAAGGATCTGACAGCATGCTTCTCTTGCAATGGCTGAGAACTGAGCTTCGGCTTCTGCAGCGGCAGGAGCGTTATCTGCACCATGAAGACATTGACCTTGTGAAAGCGTTGATCCAGGTTTGTGATTCGAGTTTGGCATTCTTTCGCATTCTCTACAGTCATGGACTTTGGCTTCCCAAAAAGTGTGTGGTGAACTTACGGGACCACACCCTACGCATCAGCCGCGGCTACAACTTCCTCGCTGCGCAATGCCTAAATCGCTCATTCCCTGGCTTTGGCCTCAAGTCAACAATTCATTCAATGCATCATTTCGCAGTTGATCTCGACATTGCCCTTCAGAATGGTGCACCATGCTATCCGAGCTTTCTTATGCAGGACTGTTCCCAATGTGAAGACTTCATTGGAAGAACAGCGCGCGTCGCGCGTGCTGTACATGCTAGGACAACTTCCTTGCGTTGCCTCCAGCGGCATTTGATTAAGAAGAAGATGCTCTTGAGAAACCGAACTTTCAATGGAGCTGTTCTGAGTACCAGGCTGAAAGCTGGGCATTGATTTGCGGATCGAGCCAAAATGGCATTTTCTGAGTTGCCAAGCACAGCCCTCAAAGCCCTAAACCCTCTCCCTTCATAAACTTACTCAGCCCCATAATCCTGATGATCAGCTGAGCCATCTGTGCAGCTTGCAACCAACATCCCAGGCGCCTTTAGGGTCTTACAGGGTTGGGCTATTTTTGCTTTTGGATGTCTATTTTGCTTTGGGTGGGCTATTCTGGACAGGAAAGGGCTATATTTCTGCAGTGAGGGCTATATTCCATGATAGTTGGGGATGGGGCTGTTTTTTCACATACACAGGGGGTGCAGGTAGGGCTTCGGGCAATGATATGATAAGGCTACTATGCTTACGATCCGTGGTCAATATGCAATGTACCCTGTCTCGCTTTGTGATGGGTTTAGGGTGCCCTGAGGGAATGTGCCCTATCATGCATGAGCGCTTCCTGATTCCTGCCTCAGGGAGCAGTTAGACTAAGCTTGTGAAACACAATGGCTACAGCTATGTAAGAATTTCCCTGTCGGCGTTTTGCCAGGCTGCTACATAACCCTTCTTAAATCCTTACTCTAAACCCCTACATCCTAAATCCTTAGGCGGAGGTACTGGTTTAGCATACCCAACTGCGGGTCGGTGATCTGCACCAAGACCTGCTGTCGGCTTTCCACTCGGTTGATATCCTGGGCCGGTTTAGGGTCTTTAGGGTTTAGGGTTTAGGGGTGTAGGGTTTTAGGGGGGAAGACACTTGTGTCAAAAACAGAATCTACCTTGCCCCAAACGATTTTAGGGTGTAGGGAAAAGGGAGCCGAATTTTGGGGGGGTGGACATGCCCCAGTCCTCTCATCATTATAGGGTTTAAGGTATAGGTGCCTAAACCCTAAACCCTAAACCCTAAACCCTAAGAAGGCGCATCCATACGGGATGCAGATGGCTCCTGAAAGGGATGTATAAAATGGAGCTCACAGTTAGTTTCCATGTTATTTTCCATTATACCCTATCATCCCTATATAACCCTATAAAATCCCTATACTTCCTGTAGTTTCCATTTTATTTTCGTTGATATCCTGTGAATTTTGAAGATTCAAGGGAAGCTGCAGTGGCGTTGTAAGTGAGATAGCTTGGAAACCGGCACTTCTGGACTTAGGGTTTAGGGTTTAGGGTTGCAGGTTTAGGGTTGAGGGTTTAGGGTATGGGGCTTAGGGTTTGGGGTTTAGGGTTCGAGGTTTAGGCCGTTAGGTTTAGAGTTTATGCTTCAGGGTTTAGGGCCTCTTCGTCCGATCTTTTAAAATGAATCTGACGGAAATCGTGCTTCCCTGTCCGTGTCCTGAGCCTTGCCGGGCTAAAAGGCAGGGCCGCCTGGAGCCAGCTGGGGGTTACACAGGATTTATACAAGCTTTGCGAGCAAGTTACCAGAATGGAGAGCCAAATGGAAACCACATAAACAACGAAACGGACACTGGGATGTTATATGAGCCATAGTCTAAGACCCTAGTTCCTCCCCCTCAATAACCACTATAGTACTCCCCTATATAATCCCCTATACAACCCCCTTTAAAGAATTTGGACCCTAAACCCTAAACTAAACCCTATATAATCCCCGATAGAGCCTCCCTTGAAGGACTCAGAACCCTAAACCCTAAACCCTAAACCCTCATCCATGGAGTATTTGGGTTTGGGGCTTGCTGCTCGCATCTTACAGGCCATTCCAAGGATTGATGCCAAAACAGCTGGTTTAGGGTTTAGGGTTTAGGGTTTAAGGTTTAGGGTTTAGGGTTTAGGGTTTAGGGCTTAGGGTTTAGGGTTTGGGGTTTAGGGTTTAGGGCCCCTCCCCGGCCCAAGCAAGGAACCCACTGTTTGTAGAAACGGCCATCTGGGCTATAGTCTAAACTCCTTAAAGGGGGTTATGTAGCGGATTAAATGTATGGGAGTATTGTCGGGGATATTAAGGGGATACTAGGAGTCTAGACTTTATAGCTCATATAGGGTTGCATTAGAGACAGACTGCCTGGGACTCCGGACAAATCAGTAACCTACAAAGAAAAGGATCCCTTTTTTCAGTATAACCTCGGGCCTACAAGGAACCTAGGACCCCAAGAAGGGGATAAGGGGCCTACTTTGAGTATTTCCGCCTTACAGTAACAGTTACGAGGAGTTAAAATGCATTAGTGCTTTAATAGGACCCCTTAATGCCCTAAACCCTGTACATTCGTCCCTTAAATACTAGGACCTCTTTACGGACAGTCACTGTAAGCGGGAATGAGAACCGCATCCCCGAGAGGCAAGCAGGATTCAGAGTTCATTTGACAAGGTAGGAGCACTTGGGGCTTTGGGGATAATTTACGAAAAGTTCTACGAATATTGTCCCGAACAATCAAGAATCAAATGGAAAAGGCAAATGGACCATGAAACGGACTCTGGGATTACATTGTAGTTGATAATGAGTTGGGTTTTGAGGGTGTATGGGGGCTGACATACAGGCCCCTGTGGCGAACCTATTCAGGGGTCCGTAGGTCTATGAGGAAGGTGTAAAGACATGATTTTTCGGAATGGCCGTTCTAGGAAGAATGATTTTGATCAACTACCACAAGGCACGTGGACTGCTTTGCCTCCAGAAAAAATCGTCTACTCAAATCCTCCACAGGCATCTGGAATAGGATGGCATAATTCACACCCCAAAGCCTAATCAAAACATGCCTTACGCGCAACCTTCAGAAGCAAAGCATCTGAAAGCCCAAAAGTTGACAACACTCAGAAAGCTACTTGCCAGCTGTCGGGGCTTACGGAGGAAATCAGAATTGCGTCTCCCTATCCAGTACCTAATCTTTAAGTATGTGAGATGTTTGTGCCTGTGCCTGTAATAGAGGCGGACGTATATATGATCGATGGTTTGGACTGTGAGGGTGGGGGTTCAAGGTTAGTAATGATTGCTCTCGAAGAATGTGCGGGTAGCCCATGTAGCTGGTATCAAGAAGAATCCGAACCCGAAACAGCATGACAGAGGACATGAACTCTCAACCCTCAATCTCCCAAACCTTGGTAATGTATGGGGCCTGAATGATTACCAATATCAATTTTGAGTCCACTTGATGTACCCTCTATCATAGTGATATAGGGAACCTAGATCCATCATGTTGGTAGCTATTTAGGCTTCTTCATTAGACCCCCTAAGCCCTAAACCCTAAACACTAAACCCTGAACCCTAAACACTGAACCCTAGCCCCTCAACCCTAAACCTGCCGAGAGACATTAACTTTGACCTTTGACGGCCTCATGGAGAAAGCCAAGCCTCAAGTTTGTCAGTTTGTCAGGGTTTAGGGTTTTCGTGTGGGCCTACTTGCGCTTAAAGGAGGGTGTCGGGGTTAGAGCTTGGAGACTGGGATTTGAAAGTAGGACTTAGGATGTAGGGCTTGAATTATTACAGCTACGAAGAGTTCAAACTTTGGGGATTTTGGATTTCGAGTTCAGACCTGGCTTTTAGACTTGTAAGTTAGAGGCTAAACCCCTAAACCCCTAAACCCTAAACCCTAAACCCAAAAAAAAAGAGTGTAGGACCTCAGGGATGGAGAAAAATGCCTTGGCTCCGGGTAAGTACCATTACTACAGGGGCCGAATTAATTAGCAACATCATTTTGAGGTCCATTAGGGTTTAGGGTTTAGGGTTTAGGGTTTTGGGGTACCATATACAATAATTATACAAGGAATATGGAACCATAATTTTGGTAATTATTTAGGCCCCTATATTAGAGACTGAAGACTCCGCAGGAAGTATCGCTTGTAAACTCAATAGGGCTCGCATGAGTTCAAGTCCTAGTAGCCCATTATTCCCCCTTAGTAAGTAAGCCCCATAGTACTCCCTATATAAGGCCCCATATAATCCCGTGTAAGGAGTTTAGACTATACCCTAAACCGTAAACCCTAAACTATAGCCTTTTTAGCGTGGACTTAAGGGACTGCGGGAAAAGAATTCAGGCCTCACCCTGAAGCCTACACTGCCTTAAACTGGTTCCAGAAAAGGGAAGTGGCTCTAAGTGGATAGCTTTCGAGTGGGGTTTAGGGTTTAGTGTTTGAGGTTTAGGGTTTAAGGTTTAGGGCTTAAGATATAGGGTTTAGGGTTTAAAGCTCGGATTTAAACCTTGAAATTCCAAAGTAAGTACTGCTTGTAATTGTTGACTCAGAGCCTCTGTAGACTCAGGGCCATAAGGTTTGCCTCCGAAGTACTTGCAGGATGCTGGGAAAGAATTCAGACCTTTATCTAAAACAGAAGCCACAAGAACTTGCTCACCTTGCACCCGAGAAGCCGCCAAGGGCGCAAACGGAGAGAAGCGAATAGATGGACATCATGGACAAGTACAGACACGCTCAGCTTGCAGTGCTTTGCTTTTGGCGACCTTCCGCCGCACGCAGTTGGGGGACTAATACGTACCGAAATCCCAAAGTATGCAGCATAATCGACCTTGACTGTCACTTTTCTATGGGTTCTGGGCTATCATTTCACCTACTTTTGAAGTTTAGGTAGGGCTGATCCTCAAGGGTCGGTACGTGAACAGCAACCGCAAACAACGTTGAATGAGCTGCTTTTGCTCGTGCCCATTTGGCTGAGGGATGTTTCCGCGGCAAGCTGGCATCCGGGAATGGTTATAGGGACTGGTACAGAGATTCTATAAGCTACTACAGGCAAGAATAGCTTCCGAAACCCTAAGCTTAAACTCGAAACTCCGAAGTCCTACAGCTTGAACAGGGTTTATAAGGCTCAGGATCTAGGGCCCAGGAAGGCCAATGTGGAGCATTTATACCTGTATTCCAGGGATATCTAGAAAAGAGGCCTTATCATGAGTTCCCCTACTATATTACCCCTCGGTCCCCCTGACATAGGGTCCGTTTAAGGACAATTCGGGAGAACCCTGGGGTAGGGTGGGGGTAACAGGAGAATCCATGACATTACCAGGCTTGGCAAGATTCCCTCTAGGAAGCTCCCCTTCTGCAGCTGCCTTGGAGCAATCAGGTTT